GGATTATGGATACAATCTCTCATCTTGATTCTGGTGGTAAGTACACCTTCAACATAACAAAAAATGAAGCAAGTGCTTTTGGAAAGTTACATAAACAGTGGAAGCAAAAGTACTTAGAATCTTGGACCTGTAGACCAATAGCAAAGTTTATTACTTCTGGGAATTAGAAGAAAAACACCTAACTAGACTTAATTCTCTGAATTATTCTAATCTTCACACTACCAAAATATCTGTTGATGTTCACACACTCATTGCAATCAAACACGACATCTTCACTGCTCCAGCATTTTCCTGGCTGCACCATATAAAACCCATGTCTCCCCACCAAACACCCATTACTGTCAACATTGGCCTAACTGACAGTAGGGAAGACCCCTGGTCCCTATTTAAGCAAACTCTCTGCTTTCTATAGTCAGCCATACCTCGATCCACGTTAGAAAATTTCTTCTTATACCTTTGTATTATGGTCCAGGAACAAAAAGGCCTGTTATCCTGGCGTAAAGGGAGCAAGGAGCAGAACAAACACAGCTTGAATGACTTTAAATTACATTTTCCTTCACCCAGTGCCTTTATAAGCTTTTATAAGTATATACACTAAAATAGTTTGGAACATACATATTTACAACAGGGTAAACCAAGAGGCAAGGAAACAGCCTGGAGACAGAATGGGCTGTATCACGTCACCTTCACAATTGCCAGATCCGCAATATGACTGGCTGAACCTAGGAATTGATCTGACGATGGGGCCCCGGTCGTCTAACTCTTAGTTACCTGATTCAGCCTATATGAGTGTGTTCACATGCTCTGAATAAAGGGTACATACTCTTTAAATGCAACACCCCCACCCCGAGAAGGCTCAGGAGTAGCCCACACCTCCAATTGGTAAACGTCCCCCACCATAGCACAGAAATAATGGGACCGGCTTTCCTCTCAATCATCCAACTGTTAGACAGAGCTCGACTTTCATTCGCGACATAAAGCCAAACTCTAAACTCAGAGCGAGACAGCAGACAGTAGGGCTAATGTAGGTCCAAGATACCTGCGGACGGTAGCAGCATATCCCCTCTCTAACCCCCCCACACAACCTTAAATATTCATTATATACAAAAGAGAAAAAAAGAGCTATAACGTTTACCAAAAGTCCCTAACACATCCTAACCTAATACATATAAGTTCTAGACAATGCATCAGCCAGCATATTTTCTTTGTCAGTGATATGCTGAATTTTAATATTATAGGGTTGTAGCCTAATTGACCACCTTATCATTCTTGCATTGTGATTTTTCATATTCTGAAGATAAATTAGAGGGTTGTGGTCAGAGATAAATCGTGACCACCTGCGAAGTCTGGCCCACATACCCATAAAAATGTTCCAAGGCCAGTACCAAGGCGAGAGCTTGTTTTTCAATTGTAGAGTAGGCCCTCTGGTGGGGCAGGAACTTAGCCGATAGTAAGCCACACAGACTGCAGAAGTACTGCCCTCACCCCAGACTCACAGGCATCTACCTGTAAGGTTTGGAGAAATCAGGAGACAGGAGAATAGGAGCAGTACAAAGGATTAGTTAGGCTTTATTGAAGGCCGTTTGACATTCTGATGTCCCTTAAAGGGACTTTGGGACTGGTAAATGAGGTAAGAGGGGCTACAATATCTGAGAAAAATTTACGGAATTTTATATAGAATCCTACCATACCTAGGAAACGTTGGAGGGATTTCCTATCATGAGGTACTGGATAATTTTTAATGGCAAGAATTTTAGCAAATTTAGGGCTACTTTGCCATTTTCCTATTTCATGGCTCAAAAAATTAACAGTAGCCTGGCCAAAGGAGATTTAGATAAATTAACAGTTAAGTGGAAACTCTGGAAAGTCTCAAAGAGAACCTTAAGTCTACACATGTGTTGGTCCCAAGTGTCCAACACAACAACAATGTCATCTAGATAAGCTGCCATGCCTTCAAGTCCTTTAATAGCTTGATGGATAAGTTTCTGAAATGAAGCGGGTGAGTTTTTCATGCCAAAGGGTGTAACTGTATATTGATAATGGCCTCCTGGAATTACGAAGGCAGAGATTTCCTTTGCCTTACCTATCAAAGGTACCTGATAGTAACCTTTAAGGAGGTCCAACTTGGACACAAAAGTAGCCTTACTCACAAAGTCGATTACGTCATCCAGACGTGGCAGAGGGTAAGCATCTGCAATTGTGACCTCATTCATCTTACGGTAGTGTGTACACATTCGTAAACCTCCATCACCTTTTTTAACAAGGATGCACAGTGAAAAGTATTTATATTAGTTATGTATCATATCATATAATGACAATTTATTAGACTGAAAAAAATGTAATATGATTAAGCAGATATAAAATAATCCAATTACTGAAAGTGAATTTTTCAGATACAGCTCTGGAGCCTGAATCCACGAGAATTGGACAACCAAACACTGAGAATAATACACGAGAATTGGAGTGCCAAATATTCAGAATAATACACAAAATCTTTTTT